GTACCGTTGACTTGAAAGCTGGCAACAATTTTTGTTTGCTATCCAAGTCTGGTGATGCTTGCAGTTCACTTTTGAGAGCAACCAACCATTCTATTCCTTCAAGTCACTCAGGGGCATTCTCCCTCAAAGTTGGAAATTGTGTGCTTCGTGGAGTGGACACAGAAAATTGGTGTCAGCAAATTTTTAGGTATTGTCCTTGGACGAGAACCGACACCAAATCAACTGTCACTGCATCGCCGCTCACCTGCTTTGTCGTGCTTACCTCTTGTTGAGGTGATGGACATGAGGAGCTTTGGGGTAATCAGGGATTCAGAATCTTCGATTCAGCACCTTCGGCATCAGGGACAAAGGTCGCCGAAGGTAATCCTTAATCTCCCGTGGTCGCTCCTCGAGACGTAATCGAGGATCGTTTGGCACGAACCCTCGCCGACCAATTCATTGGTACGGGCTGCTTTGGTAGACATGGTCGGCTTCATGCAGTGGTAGCAAAGTGGTTTTCGGTCGCACATTCGTATCACCTACGTTTTCCTCGGTGTACTTTGTTGAGCACAGTCCTACACACGATGTCGGGAATGCTTCGGCGTTAGAGTGTCTCATTGAATTGGCATTGAATACTAAGGGGCAGCCGGTGGCGGTCGTCGTGCCATTGTGGTGTAAGTTGCCCTTGGTTTGTCAGATGCCGCTTCGCTCGCAGAAGTCTCGGTTGAAATACCTGTCAAACTTGTTCCGAAACAATCTCGGCAATCAAAATAAAAGCCGGGCAACTGATGGCAGGAAGTAGCTTCCTGATCTCCTCCCAGACAACGTCATGGGTGATGTCGTGGATGCCTGGGAGGCTGGTGTCGAAGTAGTAGCTGGACAACTCGAGTGTCGAGACGCCGGGAAGTTGTTCATAGTGGCAGGCTCGGGCATGCAGTGCACATTCTATGTTGGAAGCCTCAGTGATATGAACACTTCGACTGTTGTTGGGGGGTTGCGGACAAGGCTGCCGAAGGTGTTGTCCCTCACGTGAGGCGCATGGGATTCTTAGGTTCTTGTCTTCTGTAGCATCAAGGTTGGCGTGGGCGTGGGCGTGGGCGCTCGATCAAGCGCAAAACATCCTCCACGAGTGCGGTGGCGCTCTCATTGGGGCAGTGTCCTGGACAGAATCAAGAATGCGGCTCTCTTTCGTTGATGTTGGCTGACGGATGCGCGCTTCAGCTTGATCTTGCAAACTTCCCATGACGTTAAGGAGGATCCATGGTTCTCAGACCAGCGCCGGCAGTTGCTTCCACGAGAAGTATAGGTTCTGCAGGAGCTGGTTGTCTGTCCACCCAATGTGGCGGGCGACACTGTCATATTGTTCAATCCAGTCCTTGACGTCTTCATACAGCTTGTGTGAAAAAGCGTCGGAGTGTGATTTGCGACGGGCATGCAAACAATGGTGGGAGGGGACACGGTTTGCTGCTACAGGTTTGTCATTGTTGGCTTAGTCAGCTTCGGATTTTCTGACAGGAGACCGAATTCCGGTGGTTTTTCCTGGTAGCAGCAACTGGCTCGGATTTCAGGTGCTTCGTGGTGTATTTCCGAGGTTACTCCTTGTGGTACTCAGTCGTCTTGCGGTTGTTCTGCCAGGCTCGGGTCAGGACTTTGCCTACGGCTCGACAGGGGTATAAGACGCAGAATAGTCCGCCAGCCGTGTCCCATTATTGGGTAACTCGGCTGAACAGCCGCCGGGTTCACACAGAGTGAAGGGCTACGGGTAAAGTGCCCAGCACCTCCACCTGAACACACGATTACAGCTGAGCATGACCTGCAGTGTCCCAGAATAGTGAATATTGATAGAAGATAGGACTGGAACAAGGATCCGTGACAGTATAACAAAACTAGCAGAAGAGAATCTATCCTGACCACTGAAGAAGCTGCATTGCTTTAGTGGCATTCTGTCCGAATAAATCCTCTCCTTCGGGGTTTGGCGACTGCCGTGGACGAACTGAACTGAAATGGATGTGGGACCACTTTTCTGGTAATGAGCCACTGCAGACTGTTGCCACAAAGCGGCGTGAGCTGGGTACGTAACACGCTCGGTGAAATGTCCGGACAGCTTGCAATTCGCGTAACGAGTGTGGATGAAACGTTTGTGTTGACGAAACGTGCGACAGACCAGTGGGATCAATGCCGACTGCAACACCTGTGCTCCGTGAAAGTGCACGTCTACGCCGGAACAATTTCGGAAGCAGCACAGCATCACCTAAAGCATGGCACAGGAACTACCAGCTTGAAGGCAGCTCTTCGGTGCGCCGCACACCTGTGCTCCGTGAAAGTGCACTTCTACGCCGGAACAATTTGTAAGCAGCACAGCATCATTCAGCACGACACGGGAACTACCAGCTTCAAGGCAGCCTTCCGGTGCGCCGCACAACCGAAGTGAGCCCTCGGTCATTTGATCGAAGCTGCACCACGATTGCACACCGCCAAGCACGACTCACGCAATTTCCGTCGCTAAACTGTGTATCCAAATATATTGCACACGCTTCACTGCAAACCTCGAAGATTCCGATGGTCAACGAGAGCACAGAAACGTCGCCTTAAATTTTATCCTAGCGGTATCCGAATCAATCCGAGGTCCGAGCAACGTAGGTCAGATTGTCTCTTCCGTGGCAATATCCCGGTCGGTCACCAGCGAAATGCACACCGTTTCTCCGTATTTTCACGTCATACCTACGTCAAACACCACGCTGAACTCTGAACTTGCTTTCGACCGGCCTCATATGACGGCTTCCGCGTCCGAAATCAACTCGCCGGGACGAACGACAACCAACAAAGCATCCGACAAGCTCCGGCCCAGCTGGGGCCAGCCGCTGCATGGGCGCTGCCATCTTTCCTGTGACGTCACGTATTTGGGTTGGTCATGTGACGTGTGGTCAAATTTGCGTACAATGGCAGCCTCCTTATGGGGGTCACTTTCGAGTGCAGACCGGAACCCCGGTTTATCGCTCTAAGCCCCTCTACCTCGTTGAGTTCGACCGACCCTCATCGGGCGAGAGCTGGTTCGACGCCTCGGCGCGCGCGTCTTGTTCTGGGTCGGCTAGAAACCAACGCTCCCGCGAAAACACGCGCCCGCGCGCAGGAAATGACGTCAGTTTGACGCTGACGCGCCTGAATCGCGAGCGAAAACGCGCCATGCGGTCCGCGGTGTTGCGCCGCGGTGCGGTGGAATGCGGGCGTGCTCAGTTGCCGCTCGGCCGTCGCCGGTTGTTCTTCGCTCTGTGTTTATGTAGTAGTGGTGCGTGGGCAGGTGATGTGTATCTGTAGTTAAACTGATGGATGCGGTTCCCTCTATGGGTGATATAGATGCGGTTCCTTCCACGAGTGGTATGGATGTGGTTCTTTCCACGAGCGATATGGATGACCGAATCCAAGGGCGTCAACCAAGTCTGGCAGGCAGAGTACAGAAACAGGTGAAAAACATTACAGGAAGATCCATTGGTGGATTCGTCGGGAATCCGTTGGCGTGACCCTTAGGAAACGCCACACATCCCCATTTGGGAAACGCTAACACTGACTCCGTAACGAAGCCAAGTAGAGGCAGCATAATATAGAGGAAGCAAAAGAGAAAAGTGAAGGGTTCAACTTTAGCGTTTCAGAAAGGCGGACGTGTTTAGCGTTTCCCAAGAGTCATGCTAACGCATTCCCTAAGAATACACCAAAGGATCTTCCAGTATTTACATGCGTTACTGCATGGAGATATTAACAATGATGCTTCAAGATATTTAACGCCACGACTGGTCCGAGCTACGTGAAGTTTGCACAAGGCGCTGTTTCCGTATCTTTGTCGCCCTGACTCTTTCAAATTTAGTTGTTTTTTTTCCCCAAAGAACCGAAGAGTGGAACAGCCTTTCCAAAGCACAGGTGAAATCCCCATCAGTCGAATTATGTTTAAAAACATTGCAAGGCTGTCCGTGAAAAGTTTACTGTTTTGTTTTGTTTTTATGTTTGATGTGTTTTCATATTGTTATTGTGAATTCACTACGTTTCATAATTTCTTTTTCGTAAACTCTTGTGCAATAAATTGTAGCGAACCCTCCATCCACACCTCCAAAATGAAGTTTGCAGTATTTGTAAATAAATAGATAAATTAATACCTTTGCTGTAATAGGTAACCGGCCTTTCAACTCTCGTGCTCATCATAAAACTCAATCCGCGCAGTGCCTCCTTTAGCATCCACACACGTGTCCGATATGCCTCCGATAGAAATAGCCAAAACGTGTTATAAAATCAAATGGAGACGTTGTGCACATAATGGTGACATGCAAATAGATAGTAAAGATACCAATCGGACAACACATTACAGAGCAAGTAAAAAACAAAAATTCCGGTGAATCGCGACGAGAAGCACGAATTCAACGCATTCAGCAAGGCACGGAGGCGAGGGCGGACCGTAGAGTTAAGGCCACTTTATGGCGGCCGCGCCACGTCATTCCAAGATAAGTCGGTGCTGCACCAGCAAGGTCTGAAAGGGCAGCAAGACCGCGCATGCCGTTCTCCTCGTCCTGTCTACTACTCGTGTCGGCGCTTTCCCGTGCAGTTAACGGCTGCTCTCATACACGCCCTGTGTTCAGGAAATTTCGAAGCGACATAAGACAATAAAGCGGATGGATTAGAAATTTCCGGAACCGCAACTTCGTACCTCCGCGCGTGGAAGCCGATGCCATTCGAACGCGGCCTCGTGCACGCGGCTCTAATAAAGCTAAATCCGGCGCGGCCTTCAGGTCTACAGCATATCCGCTATAGCCGCTTGAGCTTGGAAAACATTTTCGACTGATTCCGGGAACTTTGAGCTGATTCGGGAGCACAAAAAACCTTGCGCATTCAACATCCATCATCTTTGCAACGTCACCACTGGCTCACCATTGGTCAACTTCAAGTCAACGAGCATTACGTCATCGGCGGCGAGGCTACAAAAGGAAGAGCGGCACGTCGACTGCTACAGAGGGCACGGCATCTGGCCACCGCACAACATGGCTAAGCCGCTGCTGCTGCTTTTGCAGGTTGGTTCTTGGCATAGCACGGCCTCTTACCGAAGCGATAATAGATTTTTATTAGTCCTGCCGTGCCCTCGCAGGTGTTGTGCTACAGTGCGTGATTGCTGGTCGATGATTTTGTTATTGGTTATGTCGGGTGACGTTGAGCAGAACCCAGGGCCTAAGACGACTGAACTGTTGGAGTTGATTATAGAGAATCAGGCGACGTCTGACTGTAAATTGGGCGCTATAAATGAAGACATTGCAAAACTGCACACAAAGACTGATAAATTGACTGATTATGTTGAAGTAATTAAGGACTTGAACAGGAGAATAGACAGTCTAGAGAACCTTGTTCGGCAACAAGTTGAAAAGCTGATTGAGTTTGAAACCCGGAGCCGACGGAACAACCTTTTAGTATTTGGTCTTCTTGAGGAGAATGGGGAATCCGAGTCGACTTTGAAAGCGGCGGTTGTAGACACGCTCTTTCGGGAAACGCTAGGAGTTCAAGTACAGACGGTAGAAAGGATACATCGCTTAGGCAAGAAGAAGCCAGGAAGTCCTAGGCCTGTAATTCTAGGATTTTATGACTCAAGGGAAAAAGAGCAGGTGCTGAGGAACTGCCGGAAGCTAAAAGGAAGCCAAATTAGGACCAGCAATGATTATCCGAAAGAAATAGTGGAAGTGCGTAAAAAGCTGGGGGCAAGCGCTTCAGTTGACAGGAACAATGGCAAAAGGGTCACCTTGGTTCATGATAAACTGAAAGTAAACGACCAGTTTTACGTGTGGGACCATGGCCAAAATGAGCGGTGCCTATGTCACGAATATCGCCAAAATGACGCCTCAGGTGGTACACGGTCATCTCCAGCTTTAGATAGTCGTCTTGATTCCCAAGGCACTCCCTAAGGAGCATAGCTACGCCTTCTAGTACTTAACGCGCGCAGTATCGCCAATAAAACTTCAGACTTAGAATATATTTTATTAGCACGAAGTCCTCACGTTGTGTTATTAACAGAGACATGGTTGAACAAGGATGTGCCTAATAACTGCATTATTCCTCCTGGTTACCAAATGTTCAGATGGGATAGAGACTCTCGTGGTGGCGGTGTAGCTATTATAGTTAAAAACTCTGTCTCGGCTGTGTTGGTTCATTGCAATCTTAACGAAACAGTGTGGTGTAGAATTACTTTTGCGAACAATGTGTATCTTGTTGGTGTAGTGTACAGGCCACCTGTTACTCAGCCAGAGTTTTTGGATAAGTTGAATTTGTTCTTGTGCGCTCATGTGAAAAGTACTACAAGATTAATACTGACCGGTGACTTTAATTTACCTCACATAGATTGGGAAGCTTTGTCCCCTGGGCACGTGGAGACTTCCAGTGCTGAAATATTGTTGGAAATATTGATTTCTCACAATCTAAGGCAAATTGTGAACGAGAAAACGAGAGTAACTCCTGAGTCCCGGTCACTGTTGGACTTGTTGTTTATATCCCAGAGAGTGGGTGATTACACAATCTCCGTTGAAGAAGGAATATCAGATCACAAGATGATTGCTATGGACATATTGCACAGTATAGGAAATCGTAAGCGACCCTTTGTTCCTATTCCAATCAAAGATTATGTTCAAGCGGATGACACTTCTGTAATCGATTTTTTGGAATGTTCATTTAGCCAGTTCCAGCTTGCCTGCGATTGTGAGTCCGTGGAGGAACTGTGGCAGCGTTTTAAAAGAGTTATAAATCATTGTGTAAACAGATTTATTCCGACTCGCTTTAAAAAAACAAAACAACAAAACCCGTGGATCAATCGTAAGATTATTCACATGAAGCGTAAAATAAATAGATTACGGAAAGGAAAAGATAGTAAAGACCAGATATCTCAGGTCCGTCGTAATTTGAAAACCGCATTAAATGAATCCAGGCAACAGTTCTTTAATCGGAGACTTGGCAACTTCCTGAAAACATCGCCAGAAAAATTTTGGCGTTTTTTTAGTGAGAAGAAAGAAAGCATCGATCGTGTTCAAACCGCAACCAAGATGGTTACAGAACGGAAGGAAATAGCAGACTGCTTCAATGAATTTTTTCAGTCTGTTTTTTTCGAAAGACAATGGTAATAGCTATGACGGTGAACAATTTAATTCATTCCCGTGCTGCATGGAAGGTTTTTCAATAACTCGGGTGGGCGTATTTCAGCAGTTGCTAGAGTTGGATGTAAAGAAGGCTAGTGGGCCTGATGAAATACCGACAGCATTTTTGCAACGATATGCCGAGTGGGTGTCATTTTATCTAGAAGCTATCTTTCAGAAATCTTTGCAAACTCACTCACTACCACAAGATTGGCGTAGTGCAATCGTAATACCTATTTTTAAAGGCGGAGTCCGAGCAATCGTGAATAATTATCGCCCCGTGTCTCTTACCTCTGTGTCATGTAAGCTTCTGGAGCACAATACAGCAAAACATATTATTATTTTTCTTGAAGAGAACCAGTTGCTTTACCCGCATCAACACGGGTTTCGAAGCAATCTTTCCACTGTTACGCAGCTAATCGAAACTATTCACGATTTTTCGTTAGCAATAAACGACCAGAGGCAGATAGATGTTATTTGTATAGACTTCGCAAAAGCTTTCGATAAGGTTTCTCATAATAAACTACTCTTCAAACTTCGACAAATCGGTATTAGCTCTACAATATTAGAATGGATTGAGGCTTATTTGATCAATCGCAGGCAGGTGGTGCGTGTTGACGATTGTGTGTCTTGTTCGTTGGAGGTGTTTTCTGGTGTCCCACAGGGATCTGTGTTGGGACCCTTATTATTTTTGTTGTACATTAACGATATTGCTAGCATTGTAGAGCCAGGCGTAGAAATGAAGCTTTTTGCCGACGATTGTTTACTTTATTCGGTAGTCACAAATGTGAATGAGCAAATTAAAATCAATCGTAGCCTTCAGGCTTTGAACATGTGGTGTGAAAAGTGGGACATGGAAATTAACTATACTAAATCCACATTCACTCATATAACTAAAAAAAATAGTGCACTTTGTTTTAGGTATAACATTGGAAATAACTTCTTGAACAATGTAAATAGTTTTAAATATTTAGGAGTGACCATAACCCATGATCTAAACTGGCGAAAACATGTGGAAAACGTGTGCTCTAAGGCTTCAAAGAAATTGTACTTCTTAAGGAAAAAATTGCACAACGCAACAAAGAACGTTAAGTTAATTGCCTACAAAACATTCGTGAGGTCAGTTCTAGAATATGCATCGGCTGTCTGGAGTCCACATCAGAAAGTCTTGAAGTCCAAATTAGAAAGAATTCAAAGATTAGCTGTCCGCTTTGTTTGTGCTAAATATAAATGGACAGATTCGGTTACATCAATGTTAGACTCATGCGACTTAGAGCTACTGGAGACAAGGAGACAAAAACATCGACTGATATTGTTTTTTCAGCTCATCCATGGACAAATTAAGATTAATAAGGACAGCTATGTAAAACTACCATGTAAACTAAGTGACCGATTAAATCACAACTTAGCCATTGAGCCGTTCAATGCCCGTGTTGATGTTTTTCGATACTCATTTTTTCCTGATGTGATTGAATCCTGGAATACATTGCCTAGTTATATTGTTGACAGGGAAAATGTTCGTGAATTTGAGAGCCTACTTGACGTGTACTATTGTTGTGAAAGATGTTAGGTAATGTGTTTTGTTGTTTTTCCCTCTCTGTAATGACCCTAACAAGGGTTAACAGTATTTTTAAATAAATAAATATATACGTGGTCTCGAACTGCAAACTTTTTCAATGTTAAGGAAATGTCTTATCTTCGTGTGGCCATGCAACTTAAAAAAAAAAAAAAAAAACTAGGCTCAGGCCTACTCCATGACAATGACAGTCATTTAGACGACAATTTTGCGAAATCCAGATGCAGTGCAGCAAACGTACATTAATAGCGTCATGAAAGTTTGCAGTAAACTCATAGGAACAACATGATGAAAAATGCCTGGTGTCGGTGAGTTGAATCAAATAAAAAAAATGTGTGATAAAAAAAATTGACACTACGTGACCTCGACACCAATTCAGTTTCCCCGCTAAATGTTGCGGGGACAATGACGTCACATGACTTGGTGTCACGTCACCTATAAAAAAATTCAGTTTCCCGATTCACTAGATTTAGCGGGAAAACTAACGTTACGTGACCTCAACAGCAATTCAATTGCCCGCTAAATTTAACGGGGAATTGAATTGGTGTTGAGGTCACATTACGTCAACTTTTCTGCTAAATTTAGCGCGGTAACGCCGACGCCGCGAAACACGGAAACGAGCGCCTTAATGGCACAGTTGCGTTTGAGAGCGTTTTAGTACGTTTGCCTCTGTTACGTCGAGAGACGAAATCGAGTAAACGGCTTATCTGTACTTCTGTGGAACGTGGAATCCAATTCAAGAAATAGCTTGGCAGGCGACGTAAGACGCAGGGACGTCCTGGTTTCTCGCAGCCGCAACGCGGTCAAACGAGCACGAATGCTCTGAAACGCAACTGTGCGTAGGGTCCCTGAGAATTGCGCTCTAAAAACGTTTCAATATACAAAAACTTAGATATTTACTGTAGCTGCTCCTAGTAATCACAGCGCCGATTTAGTGGCAAAGCTTTCGGCTCTCGACGCCAAAATCAGCAAAACGCATTTGCTCAAACATAAAAATGTTTGCATCTGGCGTTTGACTTTAGCCAAACTATCCGAGGTTGCTTCTCTTGCGCTCTTTAATTTTATCTAGCAAATTTTACGGACGTCAAATCTAATTCTTAACGAGTACCTCGTAAGAAAATGTTCATATAATAAAGAGTTCAATCCCAGAGTCCAATATTGTAAAATGCTGTTAATGACTGCATTAGCAGGGCCGATAGTTAAGGAAATTTCCTACTGTGCCTAGGTCGAACTATCACAACATTAATGGAGGACTCAGTCTGTTTGTTTTGTTTTTTTAATGGTGATTTTGCTGTCAATGGAGATTTTACACACATTCTCTCCTTCACCCGCGTTCCTCTAAGCCTTAGCTCTTCTCTAAATTCAATTGGAAGGGCGAAGGAAAAGCATACATTCCTGTAGAACCACATAAATAATAAAGCACATGTCACGCAATGACTCACCATGAAAAAATTAAATTACAGACGTTTACACTTCTCTGTTATGCGAAATGAAAGGGCAGCTGTTGAGGTATGTTGATTTTGTGATATATGGTGGTAGAGAATTTGAGAGAGAATCAACATGCTGAAAATATTATTTATTGCTCAGGTGCCAGGTGGTCACCGATAAGATTCGTACCTTAAAATCGACTAGTATGAAAGGCGGAAACGCAGAGCTCAGGATTAGTTATCGGGTTGGTATGTTGTTGTATTGACGTTTGTTGTGTCGTGTATGTGCGTGTGCTCAATTTATAAGTTCAGCTGACGCTAGTGGTACGCGTAATGTATCTACATGTGTGTTTAATAAAGATGCCTGATTAGCTTGAAGTGTAATGATGGCATAGGTAAATACAAATATTTTTGTAACACATGAATTGGGCGGTACCCAGCGCCACGTAGCCTAGCTACTTACAATTACTCTGCTTGACCCTGCCATCTAGTGGCAAGCAATTGAATGAACTTTCTTTCACGCACCGTGCAACCATGAGCGAAGTATGTTGCCTCGAATTCGCACTTTCTGAGAGCGACTTTTGATTTCGCGAATGGCTCCTCCGTGATGTGCCGATTGACTAAGAAATTGTGGCTCGAGAAATAGCAAAGTTAAGACGCAAAGTGCGCGAAGTAACTGAATACCTGTTATCTCCGTTTAACATCGCAGTGCAGACGATGAGAAGACTGCGGGTGACTGCTTTCGGAACATAAGTTTCTTTACGTGCGGGGGAAAGCCG